TCTGCGTTAACTTTTCTTCCTTCCACTCTTTGTATTGGTCACTCGCAATAGTTCACTCAAATGCAGATACTGAATGCAGCTCGTAATTTTATATTGAGATGCATCAAAAACGCCCCTTAATCAAACCAGCAGGGCACAACAATGTCAGGACTTTGCCTGAGGTGCTGAATGATGAAATTAAATTTGTCTTCTCCTCAAATTCTCATTGAATTAATTTCTTCATTCTTTCACCTCCCTCCTCTTCCCACCACCCTCTGTTTCAATCTTTTTGTCTTCCTGTAAAGCGAGCCCTCCCTCCCCTCATTCTTCCTCTTCATCCCTCAATCTATCCATCGCTCCCTCCTTCTTTTCATTTCTCCATCACAGGGAGGCTCAGACTTGTTGGTCGTAGGCCAGGGAAAGTCTTTTCTCCCTGCAGGCAAAACAATTGGCTCCTTTCTCTCCATCACCTCTCGCCTTGCTCGTTTTCTTTCCCTCCCTCCTTTACATTCTCTCCTTCCGTGGGACTGTATGCATGCAGGCGAGCTGCAGAGCTGAAGTGGTACTGTACAATGTCCCCCCTCCCTCCTGTTCTGAATCTTTGTCCTCCATCCTGCTTTTCTTTCCTGCTGTAACCTTTTGCTTTCTCTTTCTCTCCATCCTACCTTCCATGTCACTATCTTAGTGTTCCAGCTCTTTTATCAGTAGGTGCAGGAAGGAGGGATGCCTGATGCACCTTTTTTTTTTTTTTTTTACAACTCCACAGTTTTTTTTTCTCCATCTCATTCTCCCTGCGTTTCCACCTTTCTTTCTGTTATTTGTTTGGTTTCCACTATTCTTCTTTTTTTTCTGCTATCTTCCACTCTCCTTTGCCCTTGTCTCCTTCTCTCTCTCATCTATCTCGTTTAATTTTACTTGCTTCCTTCTTTTTGTCTAAAGTGCCTTCCTCACCCTCCAATGATTCCTCAAAGCACTGTTCTTTATGGCTTTCCACCCCTTCCTGTCTCTCCTCTCCTCCTCGGGTATCTTTCTCTCTGCCGGGTCATTCCCATCAGGCCCTCAGCATCTTTTTATCTGCTTCTTCTCTCTAACCTGTGGTAGTGGAGGGCTACAGGTTAAACCACTGATATACGTTCCCTCATTATTGCAGGCTGTACTGCAGTGTTGCACTCTAACCTCACTCTGAAAAGCCCGACTCACCCTGCAGGCGGAACGCTTTGTATGCCCGTCTCTATTTAGGGTGGTTTTTGACAGGATGGCTTGCCCCCCCCTCCCCACAGGAATCTGTCTCTCTCTGTCTTTCTCTTTATTTTTAATCCACTCCCTCTTGGCATGCCCTGCTCTGTGTCTATTGATGCTGAACTGAATGCAAGTGTCAGCGGGTCCAATGGCTTTTTATTAAGATGCATTATGGAGTTTGTGTATTCGTAGAAGTGTGTGTGTGTGTGTGTGTGTGTGTGTGTGTGTGTGTGTGCTTGCTAATCTAAGTGTTGAGAAACAGCAGTTTATGTGAGGATTATTGCACTCATGAATATATTGTAAATGTGTGTGTACTCATTTTGTTACCTCTTAAGGACCTTAAACATTGACCTTGTCAGGACCATTAGTTCAGTCCTAATGAGGATAAACTTAATATCAGAGCTCCTGGTTTAGTTCAGGGGTAAAATGTGGATTGTGGTAAGGTATACATTGATAATAGCTAAGGATGAAGTTTTTGTCTAGGCTGTCCACAATGACTGAAAGTCAATGCTTAATCCTAAACTGCACAAACCTGTGTGTGTTTGTGTGTGAGTTCTCTGCTTAGACTCTGAGATGAGGCTAGGAACAATAATGGTCTCTTCAACTCATGATGATTTAGAGGACACACACACACACACACGCACACACAGAGAGCTCGGGGAGACTCCGAGGAACAATGGGACGTTCCTTTTATAGCAGCCGACAGGAGTGTAGAGCTTCACTGCTGCCCTTGTCACTCCTGGGGACTGTGACGTACATTGTGCGGGGGTGTTTCTGTTCTGTGTGTCACGGCGCTGCAGCTGACAAGAGCACTGACGTCCTTTTCTTTGAATTACTGCATCATCTTTGCACCTCAGTGGAGAACCTTGAGAATACACACAGCCTTGCCTTCTTTTTCGGACATCACACAAACAGACGCACTTTAATATACATTTTTCCAGATATTAGACCTTCTGTCTCATTCTGCTGAATCCTGTCGATTTTAGTTGTCCGGAGCTGTAAAAGCAGCCCTTGCCTTTAAAAACCTTCAACACCTCTGTGTGCTGCAGAAACAGTAAGCTGTGGCAGAGGATGGCAGGTTCTGTGCCGATCAAGGCTTGCATTTGTGCTTTTGTCCATTCCTGAGTGTGTGTGTGTTTACATACTGCAGGATATATGTGGGAGTTTATGCTCCTGTTCAGCACTGTCCTGTTGTGTTGTGGCCTGGGAGCCGTGAGCTTATGAGAGCTCTCCTGTCTCCACGCCTCAATAGCTCCATTATTTATAAAACTCTGTGCCAACAGCCTGGTCTGTGAGTGCAGAGTTTGTGTGCATATACTCTCATCTTTGTGTGTTTCAGTTTGCATGTGCCTAAAAGTGAACACTGCAGCTTTCTGTGGTTTTCGAGCCAGAAATTCTGACACTGGTGTAAAAATGTGCCAACTTGAAATGAATGGGGATTTTACTAAAAACTCTTTTTAAAGACCACATGAAAACTTCAGGTCTGTCAATGCTCCATCACCATTCGCCAGTCCAAGTCAAGAGTTTCTCCTTTGTTAGAATGTGCACAGTATACATTTTTACTTTTATTAAATGGGCTTTAGTTGTTTTCCAGTCTCATCAGTCAACCACACTTTCATACAGTATTTTTATACATAGAAATCAGGGATATTTTATGGTATCCGCTTGTTTCAGTATCTTGCCCAAGGACACTTCGGAATGCAGACAAAAGGAGATGGGGATTGAACCACCAACCATCTTATCATTAATAATAATGATAATAATAATAATAACTTTATTTGCAGAGCACTTTTCAACACAAAGTACAAGCTGCTGCACAACAAGAAAACAAATAGATGAAATACAAAGTTTTACACAACAGGACAACAAATTAACTAACAAATTAGTGCAAGACCCTCTCTACCTCATGAGCCACAGTGCCCATGCATACATCTTGGTGGTCGATCAAGCTGCATTTCCTTTGGCTATATATTATTGCAGATGTTACATTAACTTCTGGTGTAACACAGTATCGGCTGAGTTGAGACTATGGCAGCAGGGTGTCAGTGCATTCCTGTCAACAGAGGCCCTCCCTGCATCCAGCCCATATGGTTTCAGGTTGTGGATAACGGTTGCATACTTGGGCTGATTTGAGAGATCATTTGAAAATCAGCTCCTGTTCACAGTGTTTTAGCTCCTTGACAGTGAAAGTGTTGCATAGTCAGGTTGCTGTTGGTCCATCGTCAGTATTCACAAGCCTCATAGTTGAAAAATATGGTAGAGTTAAGCCTGAAATTGACAGGGTAGTCGATTTTACAGAGAGGGACACATGTATGAGAGCGATTGAGGGAATTGTTAGATGGGCTTGAAGAAACAGACTGAAAGTGAAAAGGGAGAAAAACAGACTGTCTGCTTGTCCCTGACTCAGTGCCAACTGTGAGGTGTAATAAGAATAAAGAAGACTGTTTCTACTCAAAGGCTTTATTGTTCCTGCTGACCGCAGAGTCCGAAGTACTGAAAGAGAGGTGTGTGTCCCTGTGCACACTTTTTACGACTCTTGTTTATATACATTTAGGCTTATAAAACAGTAACCTCATTACTGCTCATGTGGCAGAGTTGTGGCTCACAGCGACACAATCACAACAGAGACGCCAGGTTATTGGGGATTTTTCCGAAACAATAAGAAATCTGTCCCTTTAAATCTGACTCTCAGTTAACTTTATAGAGATTCTTTTTCTGTCCTCTGTGCACATGCTAGAAGTCCCCGCACACTCAGAAACTGCAGTGGTAAACCACATTATAAAAACAACAACATTGTGAAGCTTTGAATAACTTGTAATGTCGTTTATCTGTTACTGTGTAATTCAATATTGACACCAAATCTCATTACAAAAGCAACAGTCTTTGGCTGTGTGCTGCCAGACTCACTCACAAGTGACTTCCATCCGCGTCACTGTCGTCTCATCAGTCCTCGGCAATGAAGAGATCTCATCTGGTGACACCGTCTGCCAGTACGGAGGGGACGAGGGAGTGTGAGCGAGCAGAAGAGAGAGGGAGAGGGAGAGAAGAGAGGGAAAGAGGGAGAGAGAGAGGGGGAAGCCACTCTGAGTTGGCAGTGCCACAGACACAGATATTGTGCATGGCTTGGCATATCTCTATCTCACATGCACAGTCTTCATCACCATGGTCTGTGTGTGTGTGTTTTTGTGTGTTTGTGTGTGTGTGTGTGTGTGTGTGTGTTTTGGATACTCCCCTTATGTCTTGCTGTAATGTGAAGGGATTATAGTGGTGTTGCCACAATGGAGGTTGGCATTTACTCAGCCTGGCAAAGGCATCAATCTGCCTCTGACTAAATATACTTCAGACGCATGTGTTTGTGTGTGTGAGTGTGTGTGTGTTTGTTCTTGTGTGTAGTGGCATCCTTGGCACAACCACGCAAATGCTTATGATGTCCATTTCTAAATCCTCTCCCTTTCTTTCTCTATTTTTAGGTTTCGATTCCCATGTCTGACGTCTTGGTCCCATTTTGAATGTGAGAGGTGAACTCAGTCGTCCTTCACAGAGGAGCCCTGGATATACCAAACCAAAGTCTTAAGAAGCAAGGAGGCAATTGTAGAGATTACACTGAATGTTAAGAAGGAAGACTGAAACTCCAAAAGGTTGAACATAAAAAACAAAACTATCTGAAATTGAATTGGTCAGTGAAATCAAGGACAAAAACTACAAACTACAAAAAAATCATTTTCCAGGCTAACAGCCGTTGCAGTCGTTGAAAGAAAAGCGCTTGGTCGCAACGTGTCAAGATGATGACCATGATGATGATGATGGTGGCCATGATGGTCACCTGCAGCTCTCTCTTCCTGCTGGGTCTGGCCGCTGCTCACGCATCCTCCAACACCATGACCCGCACTTCCTCTTCATCTTCATCCTCTTCTTCCACCTCATCCTCCTCTCCACGCATGAAGCTCTCATACAAAGGTAAGAACCACAGTTTTCTGAAGGAGGGAGATTTTGTTTGCACACGAGTCCATAGCCCCTTTTTCTCTGGTCAGAAAACACACCCACTAACATCTGGCTTATGTCTGCAATGGGAATGGATTCAATTGGCTTTCACTCCCGGGTCAAATGACTCTGCAGTAGACTCTGGTTTTTACCAGCTCTGATCAGCAAGACAGTGAGGTGAGATAGCTCCTCAGCTTTCAGTGCGTTATTGATGTTAAACACGACGCTCTGCCAATACCATTGCATTCAAAACAACTTAACATAACACATTCCTTAACTCCTTACTACAACCTTAACCATCACAATACAATATTTCTAACTTTAAAGCCAAGTCCCAACCGCAAAAAATTTGCCTCTACCTATAAGTGTAGTATCCTAAAAGTCCCCACGTAACAGTGTGTATTCAGGTTGAAGTCCCCACCAGGATATAAAAACAAGCATACACACCTACACAAACACAGCTTTGTGAGATATTCAACCATATTGCTTTTCAAAGAAAACAGTCCTGAACAGTAGCCAAGCATCATTTGTGGTGGCCACACACACACACACACACACACACACACACACACACAAATAGCGTACACACTGAGGCATGGTATTGTGTTTCATCACATTTTGTAAGTTTGCAGAATGCAGCTCCGTGCCCAACATAACCACATAAACCAGGGATGTGTTCCGTCATTGAATGCCGGCAGTTACTGGCTGAACTACCTCACCAAGGACATGAGGCTAGAGGCCATCTGCCCAGCTGAGATATGTGCGCCCTTTAATTTCATCTGAACATGTAGCAGTCAGGTTTGGAAGATAGCAGGATATTTAAGTCCTGGTTGACACATGAAGGACTATAGGAGATCCATCATGCATCACTGAAATAACAGTTTTTTATGCAGAAAAACAGAACACAGTTGAGATCAGCTGTCAGTTACCCAGTATTGCTGAGCATCAGATGTGCCTGGTTAATGAACAACTTCACTCTAGGATCATTTACAATTTTCAATTGAAGTCTTTCAGTAACAGGCTCAAACATGACGGACACAAAAATGTGCGAGTTGGTATGTCATTAATATGACTGCTTACATTGACATTAGGGGAGCTGTTGTTGGCTCATTCAGCAGTGCAGGTCAAGGGATATCAATTGTGCCAACCACAGTCTGCCTGTCTGACTGTATTATTAGCATGAAAGCATGCTAATATTATTATTTGAAAACAACATGATACATATAAGTGCTATCGTGCCAAAATATTACCATTAGATAGTTAACATTAGCATGTATTATACTGCTAACATAGTGGCGACACTATCTGTTCCAGAAGTAACCTCCTTTTAAAAATGAAACCAAAGACTAAAAACAAACCCCTGGAAAGGACTCAACCTTATGTTTAATTATTATCCATTGTTATTGCTTAATCTTTTGATCAGTGGAGGGGTTGTGACATGTCTGTAAAAAGAGCTGAACAGATCAGTGCAATCATTAGACAGCAGGAGATTCAGTTAGAATTTGAAAGCTATAAAGTGTGTTGGTGAGTTTTATATGAACAAAACTGAGGTACAGTGATGAAAGTGACTTTGCGGCCATGTCTGTAGTTTTATTATTGGAGAGAGATTTTTTTTGTTGCTCACAAAAGCATTTAACTTCATTTAATTTGCATTTTGAAAATCAACATGACAACAATTGGAAGTTATGTACATGACAGCTTGGTAATATGGCTCGGTAGTATAATGATATGCTAACTAAGCATAATTCAGCTTAGGAGCAAACAAGGTCAATTTACCTACAATGCTCATTTACTATTTACATTCTGTAAACCTGCTGATTTATCTTTGTTATTAAAACGTAACTTACATCACAGCAAACTTTGCTGCACATTTGCTGAAAATGGCCCATTTATAGAAAACAAGAGCAGTAGACCTAAAGTCCCTGATGTCATGCTGGCGGCTTTTGGGTAGTGTCTGGGACTTAATTAAAGTCATAAATTCACATTAAAACAATGGAAGACTAATAAAGCCATTTTAATGTCTAAAGCAAAGGCCTGTGTCATTTCTTTCTTAAGCACTTGGTTTAAGCCAGGCCAGCAGGGGAGGATGCAGACACTTTATTTTTTCAGCCTCTCAGGCCAGGAGCACTGCTTTTTTTCCATTGGTGTAACTATTAGTTTACAAATACAAGCTGCATTTTCCTGGGCACTGTTCCCGCAGACTTGTTCTTGCCAGTTTGGAAACAGCAATGACACATTTTTTTTCCCCATTGAAACCAATATAGTCATTGCTGACAGAGGATTTTGCTCTTACTGTTAAACATTTACTGGCCTTGGGACACAGATCAGAAATGGTCTCTAAACACTAAAATTAAATGGTTTTCTTCTTTATCAACCACATGACATGTTGTAGCCCAGTGGCCAATTTGGATCTGATCACTCTGATAACTTGAGTTTGTTTTAGCTCTGATTCTTGGACTCTTAAAAGCCTTATTCAGGTCATGGTTTGCTGGAAGCGGTCAGTGTATCACATTTGGCAGGATTGAAAACCACCACCCTTCCTAATTCTCTATATCTGTTTGATTTCAGAGTTGCAGCAGTTCCATGGTGTGCGCCGGTTCGAGCTCGAACGTTCCTGCTGCTTCAGTGCTCTGCTGCTGGATGAAGAAAGAGGCCGTCTCTTCGTCGGGGCCAAGAACTTCCTGCTGTCACTCTCACTGGACAACATCGCCAAGCAGGAGCACAAGGTGGATCACAAACACCATCTACTGACAAGATTAAGGGTGTTGACTGTGACTAAGACATTACTTAAAAACAAAATCATAATAAACTGACTTTATCTTTCTTGGCGATACACTGAATTACATCATAATTGAAATGTAATCAGTGACCTTATGTGTCTCTATTATTTAATTACCATAATACTTTAATTTGGGATAATTTCAAACCAGAAGATGGACATTACACCATAAGATGTGGAAATCAGGAAGTGGCTCTAATTTACAACCAGTGCCATATCTCCTGTTTCCTATTTATTACTGTCGTTATCAAGGTCAGGCTCCACATGCCCCACAAGTTTGTTTTCACATGATCTGGTGCAGAAAGAGAAAGATTCAAAGGTATAGATGCACTTTTTTATGAACATTTCCCTTTGAACATGACTGAATCATATGCTTGCACATATGAGACTACTCAAGTGAGTGGCCTCACGTGTAACAGGGGCAGAAAGAGAAATGTGGCATTAATAAAGAAGGATAGAAAATCAAAGAGGGGAACAGAGATGAAAAGAGTGAAAAGAGAAAAAAGTGCTGTGATTGATAACTAAATTGCCTTTGTAGTAGGTGGAAGTTGTTTTAAGTTACACTAGGACGCCCATGCAGACGTCTATACACTGTGGTACACAACAGACGTTTATAGAAATATACACACTGACAAAATTGCACTTTACTGTATAGTGACAGAGAACCCACAGCTATAGAAGCAGGATACAGTGCAGCTGTTGGGAGTAAATTACATGTTTGGTGTGTTAGAAGTGAAACCTCTGTTGGTTTTAGGTAAATGGCTGAGTTTGATTTATGACCTTGTGTGCATCGTCACCACAGCCAAGGCTATATTTCAGTGAGTTGAGTGAGAGGAGAGGACAAAGAGGTGGATCAGAAAAGACAGGTGAGGGAGAGAAAGAGCAATTTCAATGAAAGTGCGAATAGACCCTAAGTTTTCAGTTGTACCATGCTGAAGGCCACATTATCAATTTAGAAGTGACAAACACTTGTGTTGGATCATAAATGTCACTCTCCAAGTATACATGAAGCATACTTTAAATGAGTAAATTGAATCCTGATAATCAGATGTGAGCAACAGAATCATATGACCCTTACCTGCTGTGTTCCAGATCTACTGGCCTGCCCCTGTGGACTGGAGGGAGGAGTGTAACTGGGCTGGAAAGGATATCACTGTAAGTCTCTGTACTTTACTCTTACTCACTTTATCTACACCCTAATCCAGTTTATACTCTGTGTTATTCTTCTTAACTAAAGTCAGCAGGTCTATGTGTCTTGAAAATGCTTGTCCTTGTCCACTTTCTTACAAGTAATGTTGGATTTAAAATAAAAGAGAAACCATCCCAGTGTAAAATCTGAAGAA